ATGCAAAATTCTGGGGTGTGTGCAATCTGGGAAGGAGGGAGCCCTAGCTTTCCTCAGATTTCCAGAGGACTCCATGTTTCCAACACATGAACTACATGCACAAATCATCACCAGAGAAACTGCCATGTTCTGAGTGCTGCTCATAGGCGAGGAGCATGAGGGTAAGATCACCTACCTGCAAGGGCTATTGGGAGGATGGAGGGAGAGGACGGCTGGGCAGCACTTAGCAAGGCACCTGGCACAAGGCCGACACTTTACAGGCTCCAGTTGTATTTTATCATGGTGATCAGTATTCTCCATTATCGTCTCCTTTACCACCTCATTAGTACTGCAAAAACGTTTTGAGGGACTTATTATCAACCCCACTTTACAGAGCAGGAATAGAGCCTTCAAAAAGGTTCACTAGTGAGCTCAAGGCCACAGAATAGCAGAGAAGAAGCTCGAACTTGGCCTGTCTGGTTCCCAAGCCCAGCCGGCCCTCAGTCTAGAAGCATTAAGTGAAGAAGGCAGAGCCCTCCCGGAAAGCTCAGGAGGAGGCTGTGGGCTGGAAGCCCCCAGATGACCCCGGGCCTGAGATCAGCAGCCAGAGGGGTAAACAGGCCTGGGGCTTTCCGCTGAAAGGGCCAGCAGGCCTTGCTAACTTTCACCTCTCCTAACCGACAAGAGAAAGTCAAGCCATGTAAGATAATAATGATTAAAAAAGAAAACCACTCCCTGTGGCAGCCATTCCAAGGCTCCAAAGTGAGGCCCTGTCTTGGAGTACAGGATTCAGGTTCCAGGAGGCAGGCCGTGCCCTCGGGCCAGGCTCCAGGCAAGGTTTCTCCTTCCAAACTAATGCAGAACTCTGCTGAACTCACCGCTTGAAAGCCAAAAAGATGCCTCTGGGTTGCCATGGCAATGCTCAACAGACAAAACATTTTACCCGCCTCTGACGCACACACACAAACTTATTTAAGGGCCAAATGGATGGACTGGTGGGTGAAAGGGGGTGGGAATGTTTCCACGGCTCCGTCTCCAAGGACGCGGCCCCCACGGTGTCTAGGTCAGCCTGAAAGCGGGCAAAGAACTCCTTCAACACAAGCTGAGGCCAGCTTGCTAGGGAAAGGGAAGTCCCTGCCGTGCCTGTCTTGTCACAGTCACAGTCTTGTCCTAGGAGAGAGTGACAGTATATGCCGACGGTCCCGGCTCTGCCTCTTCCTGGGCACAGCCTTTCACCACCTGGCACTTCATTCTCTTCACCAGAAAGGGGGGCATGTTGTGCAGGCCCACAGCAGAGTTGGGAGGACAGGATGTGCCCGTAAGTATGAACGGTCTCACAAACCTCACAGCACTGTGCAGATACAAGTTAGTGCTGATATTAAAATCATGGACGACCATTTCCCACCAGGTAGGGTTCTCACCTCCCAGAGCCCATGATTGAACTTCCCTCCACAAGGCTGGATGACCATGGGTATTTCCCTTTAAAGAACTTCACTCCAGGGGGCACCTGGGTGGCTCACATCCGTTAAGCATCTGACTTCAGCTCAGGTCACGATCTCATGGTTCGGTTCGTGGGTTTGACGCCTGCATCGGGCTTGCTGCTGTCAGTGCCCGCTTTGGATCCTCTGTCCCCCTGTCTCTCTGCCCCTCCTCTGCTTGCATGCTCGCTCTCAAAAATAAACTTTTTGTTGCTGTGGTTTTTTAAATTTCACTCCAGGACCCAACAGGAATTGCCCTCCCAAAATGCGGTGATCCGGATAGTGATGATGAATGCGGACCCGTCCCAGACCCAAAGACCTCCATGCCCATGGGGTGTGTTGTACTCTGTCTCTTCCGTGCCCCACTCCTCACCTCAGAAGAGGAGTCTCACCAGAGACAGCTTATGGCACTGCAGCAGGATCATCAACAAATGTTGCAAAACCTTCCTTTGCAAGGGTCCAGGACATCCTTTAGCAAAGGGATGCCCCAGGGATGTGAATCTTCTTCCACCTATCACTCCCCCCGTGGTGCACCCTCTTACGTTTCAGACTCCCTCCCAAGAAGTTATTCTTAAACCTCCCCTTGTCCTCAGATGGAACGGGCCCCCACTGTGCCGTGCACAGAGGTCTATGGAAACAGCTGCACTGTTATTCTCTGGTCTCCTGGTTCCTTAAGGGCAGGGATCACATCTTGCCCACCTGAGCATTCAATTGGCCCACCCCAGTGCCTGGCATTGGTCGGTACTCTGTGAATGCTGACTGGCAGGCTACAAGTGACAATGCCACACCCATCATGTCTGTGCATCAGTGCCCTTGGGATTTTCACGTCCATATGCCATAGGCATCTGCTCTCACTTCCCCATCCTTCTGGAAAAGGACATTTGAAGCAGAGCCTGGAGTGCAAGAGTTTGAGACCTGAGCTCCTCAACAACCTAGTGGGTCAGAAGCAAGGGGGCTGGGCCTCCTACCCACCAAAATCAAAGCTCTTGGCCCAACCCCCAGATTAGCTGATGGACTGAACTTGCCCCTTAAAAACTGGAACAGCATCCATTCCTCCTGCTCTGAATCATCATTGTTTTTCTTTGGCTCCGTTACTCAAGGCCCCTGAAGAGTCCCTACTTTCTCAGGGAGTGAGCACATCAGCTCTGCTGATTATTTTCAGGGAGGTGCAGTTACCCTCTGAGCAGGTGCACTGCCCAAGTTCTCATCTCTCTGTAGATCATCACCCTTCTACCAACATGGTGCTCCCCACATGCTTCCCACTCGGTTTCCTCCAAATCTTTTATCATTGGCTGCCCTAAATAAAGCCTCCTTTGGAGTCTGACCTTCTAGGAATCCAGAAGTGGTGGCTCACCACTGTGCCACATCCCCAAAGGATGCTTCCCATGAGTAGAAATGCATTAACTCTGTATATGCCCATACAGATGCGCGCGTGCACACACGCACACGCACACACACACACACACACACACACACACACACACACACGGGTCCTCGTAGATGGAACACCACCCATGCTGGTCTAAGTAGCACTTCCTGCATGCTCTAGGGGAGCTTCTGCCTTAGGCATTTGTCACAGTTCGTGATGTAGGGAAAATGACAATAGCCCTGTTGTCTTTATCATCTTTCTCATTTCCTATAGAACAGAATGACTGTGGTGGTGGTTTTCACATTTTCCTGGACTCACATCCTGTATGAAATATTCTCTGCTTCGTTCACCACCAGACCGTGTCTGCCTCCCCGCCCTTACACTGGAACTAATTATCACCAACAATTATAGGATTTTATATTCCTATGTTCAAAAAAAAAAAAAAAGAACACAGGCCATAAAAAAACAATACTTTCACAGCTGAAAGAGTTAGAGAAGCCACAAAATTTCATCGGTGCCATGGTAGCATTTATAAATAACATTTTGCATGGAGAGCTAAATTTGCACCACGGAACCTGAGGTGGCAATATTATTTTATAATCTTGAAAGTGGACTTTAACACCTCCCACAGAAGGCGCAGAAAATACAGAAGTGCCAAAGAGAATAAAAGGTTCATTGCCTTCAAATACCAGGTCTACACATGCATCATAATGGGCTGGGACAAATGCATCGGTATCTTTCCCAGGGGAAAGTACTGCCTCTCTTTCGTGTGAAGAGAGGACCTGCATGTGTAAAATGCTTACCCTAAATTAAGTCTTCTATCTTCCACATTTTCCCAATTATTAATATAGTAGACAGCTGCAGTAGCTCTAACAAAAATAGCAGCCAAGCTTTTCCAAAATTCAAAGCGGCCAGGGGAGATCTGCATGGGGACTTTCCTGTGTAAGGAGTGGTTGCTCTCTGGAGCAAATCAACAGGAAAAAATCTCCAGTGAAAGGACAAAAAAAAAAAACAAACAAACAAAAAAAAAAAAACCAACCAAAACAAACAGAAAACTTGTTTCAAAACGTAAACTGAAAAGTGACTCCCATCACACCACACACACTCCTCTTTATAGTAAAAAATAAAGGTCACCAAAAAGGCTGTCTGGCCAACTCATTGGCATTAACAACCCTGAAAATTAAGAAGTAAAACCAAGGATCGCCAATCACTTTGCTATACTTTGGAATGAGACTATCAAATTGTGTCAACTCAAAGGGAGTAGGGGGAGGTCAGAAAAAACAGATTATGCCTTTTTTTAGTTTTAGATTTCTGAAAGCAAATTAAGGTCCTGAAAAAAAAAAAAAAGAAGAAGAAAAAAGAAAAAAGTTGCCCTTAAATTGCCACCTTCATATTTTAAGCAGGTAGGACCATCATCTTAACGAACGGATATGTACACAATTCGTGTCAACATTCACATCTGAAAAGCACGATGAAGGGAAAAACCAGGTATTAAGAGCACTGCAATTTAACGTGCTCTGACCTCAACAGTGATCATGAATTTTAATTCAAAGATTATGAGGGCACATAACAAGAACAGATGTTAAAAGACTCATTTGTTTTTGTTTTTTTAACAGCTCTAATATCAGAGCTTAAGCAGATCACACCAGAGAGAAGATCCCTTGTCAAGGTCACTTTAACAATGGTCTGGATAGTATCGTACACTTCACATTTCCTGCCACCGTTCTGATTTCACATCATTCCAACCTTTGAAGGCAATCAGATCACATGCCCCCATTTCTGAGCAAGACGCCATGACCTCATCTGTGCCCTAGCACCATATACACAAACAGAAATCGCTGTGTGTCTTTGAGAAAGCAGAACTGAGTCCCAACAGTCCAAATTCTCAACAAGCGTAGGTTTGCACCAGGTCTGCATAATGTGTTTCTACAAGAAAGACAGGGAACGTGAAATGCTGACCTAAGACTCTCTGTAAAAATCATGGCCACTTTTTAGTAAATGCCAACAAATATCAGAGAGAAGCAGAACACGGCTGCTTGGAAATAGCTGTTAAGTTTATTAATATAATCCCTTAGAGTAAAGCTTACAGTGTGGCTGTTTCCAAGACGGTCACTATCATTGAGAGGAAGGGCTACTTCCTTAATAAAGACACTCACCAGCCATGTACCACTTACCATTTGTGATCTGTTCTTGGGACAGCCATTGATGTCTTCAATCTTCTCATTGGCTGAAAAAGGAAACACAAGTCAGAAAAAGAAACAATCATTCCCAACACCTTGAGTAGTGATGTTCAGAACGCTTGAGGCCAACCAAGTCCTAAGGCCCATCCTGGGGTCTGTCCAATCAGTGCAGGCATGTGAAACGCTGAGCCGCAGCTAGCAAGCTTCAGGACTTACTCATCCAGCCACCGTCCCCCAGGGACAGCTGGGGCAAGGTCGTCGGCATCTAAAGCAGAGACAACTGCATTGACGACAGTCTTGGAGCACTGGGACATCACAGAAATGTGTGGAGACTGGGAAACAGAGCTCTGATTATGCTTTCGGCTCTTAGACAGCTACGACCTCCCCCACAGAAGATGGGATGGTTCAGAGTGGGTCAGTCCCACTCTGAACTAGAACTCCACTAGAACTCCACTCCTGGGGACAAAAGGCACAGATGAAGTATCTTACCTCATCCTTTCCTTTTACTTAATTAAAACAAAATTAATTCCAGTGTAGTTAACATACAGCATTATAGTTTCAGGGGTATGATATAGTGATTCAACGGTTCTGTCCATGACTCCGTGCTCATCACAACAAGTGCACTCCTTAATCCCCATCCCCCGCCCACCTCCCATCTGATAATCATCAGTTTGTTCTCTGTAGTTGAGTCCATTTTTTGGTTTTGTCTCATTTTTTCCCTTTTGTTTCCTAAATTCTACCTGAGTAGAATAATGTGGGATTTGTCTTTTTGACTTTTTTCACTTCGCATTATATTCTCTAGCCCATCCATGTCGCAAATGGCAAGATTTCATTCTTTATGGCTGAATAATATTCCATTGTGTTTGCCCATCTTTATCCATTCATCTGTCAATAAAGATTTGGGCTGTTTCCATAGTTTGGCTATTGTAAATAATGATGCCATAAACATAAGGGGGCATGTATCCCTTTGAATTAGTGTTTTTGTAGTCTTTGAGTAGCTACCCAGTAGTGCCGGATCGTATGGTAATTCTATTTTTATTTTTTTTGAAGAACCTCCATTCTGTCTTGCAGTGGGGCTGCACCAGTTTGCATTCCCACCAATAGTGCACAAGGGTTCCTTTTTCTCCACATCCTCACCAACACTTGTTTCTGGTGTTGTTGGTTTTAACCATTCTGACAGGTGTGAGGTGATCTCATTGTGGTTTTGATTTGCACTTCCCTGGCGAGTTGAGTACCTTTTCATGTGTCTGTTGGCCGTCTCACCTCATCTTTAGCCAGAAATGCTAATATTGCTTAATACAAATAGGATTATTAATAATCCTGTTCCCAGAGTGGTAGCACACAGAGAAAATAAGAGAGCAAGACTTAAAAGGGATGCAACCCAGGCCACATAGTGAGTCCAGGCTAGATCTGAAACACGCTCCTAAAGTCATAATAGCACCTGGCTATTTAGAGAAGTGGGAGAAAGAGGTTGTGTTAAATTAACTGGAAATCAATCCAAGTGACAAGGAAGAAAGGCCCAGGTTCCCACAGCGAAGTAAGGAGGAATCCCTATAAGACACAGCCCAAGCTATCTATGGTGGGTGCAGGGGGGTTTCAGTTTGCCACAGCAGCACTACATAAAAGCAACATATGTAGAGGTTGGGGCACTAGCTTTGGGAGGCAAAGATACCTCCACGTTTGAATCTCAGATCTATAGCTTCTTAGCTGTGTGATCTCAGCCATGTCCCTCAACCTCTCTGGGCCACAGGTTCCCCATCTATAGGATGGAGCTAATACTACCTGCTCTAGAGGAAGAGCTATGATAGACTATAGGATGCCAGAAAAATACTTCATGCAGTGCCTAGCACACAGTATGTATCCTACAAATAGCAGCTATCATTTACCCAATAATACATACCATCTATGTAAAGTATATAAGATATGAATTTCCTTTCTGAAGTCTCCATCTGAGTTAAGCCCACAAACTCAGCTAGGAGTCCACAGTCAAGCACGGAGGTTCTGCTGCCTCCGGGAAGCCCCTGTAAGCTTCCTCCCCAGTCCCTTTGGTCCTTTTACTTAGGGTCCCCACCCCTAGAAGAAGAAAGCACATGCAAGTCTGTGTTCTCTCAGCACTGTGTACCTTCCTCTGTTTTGGTCTGAATCATTTAAGGTGTAACTCCTTTTCTGGTCTCCACCAGCTATGCTGTTGAAAGCTTGGCAGACCTACAGATTTTGGTTTTCACATTTGTGTGTTCGGGGCTCAAGAAGTGCTTACAAAATCAAATTTCAAAAACAAACAATCATGTCAGATTTTAATGAATAGGATGCCAAAAATCCCCATAAAGAGGAAAGATATTAAAAACTATCTGAAAAGAATAACCAAATCAAAGTGTCCCAAGCTCCAATTTTAGAACTCCTGAATCTAATACATAATACAGCTCGGCATTACCTCAATTGGACTCCCCCCCCACCGCCACCCCTCTGGTGTGCTCTACTTCGAGAAAGAAGGGAGAAATAAAGCTAGTATCAAGAAATTGTTTAAGGGAGAAGTGGGGGGGAGAGGGGAAAATGGGGAATGGGCACTGAGGAGGGCATTTGTTGGAATGAGCACTGGGTGTTGTATGGAAGCCAATTTGACAATAAATTATATTAAGAGAAAAAAATTGTTTAAAAATCTCATTCCTAGGAGACAGTCTGGTTAGTATACATTCAGCCTAATCTACACCTTCTTTAGAATTTGCTCAGGCTAACAGATACTCCACTCTATGATCTACCTTAGAAGATGTCAATCTTCAGAAATCCAACTCATTAAGAACAGTGGGATAGACATTTTAGGAAGCCTTTTCTACCCGTTTCCCTTACCCCCAAAAGAGGTGCCATAAAGCCTTTAAAAAGCACATAAGAAATGCCCAGTGAATGGGATGACTCATGGGTATCTGTTCTTTTAGTTCACCAGAAAATGACAGAATTACAATCAGTCAGAATAGGTCACTAGCATGTCAGAAGAACAAGCTTTATCATCTGCTTCCTATTGTAACCTCAGAGCTTAAGACAGTGCTGGTCACACAGAAGCCAACTCAAATATTTGTTGAAAGGAGCTAAGGAATGAGTATTCTGAACGCTTCAAAGAATCAAAGTTTAACTGCCTATTCGGAGGCAATGGTCTTTTCACTTGTCAATACAGAGGCACATACTAAAGATGAAAAAAAAAAAAAAGATCCTGGACAAATGGCATGCCTTCAAACAAGGGAAATTATGGCAGGCCTGCACTCAGACCCTGGGTTTTGATATACAACAATAGAGAATAAATATGTGGCTTCTGAGAATCCAGGCCTCTCAAGGTATCTTCCAATTGGATACTCATGATGGCCAAAGTCATAAGTCATTAGATTCTGATCAATACCCAGTTCAGCATTAGGTCATTAGTGCTCATTCAAGTAAAGGATGGATAACTGTGATCTTAGGAAATCATTTTAAAGATTCTTTATATACCATCTAGATAAAAATGCCAAAGGACTTGGTCTAATTGTTACTCTACTTCCTTTTTGTAGTCTGTCACCTAAACCACAGTCAGGTGCTGCCTGAATTCAAATACTGCAGCTCCTAGGAGCTTAATGCCATTTTACAACATTAGAAATAAACCAATGGAGTGGAGCCTATGGATAGGCTCTAAAGAATATGCAGGAAGAGATCAACTAAATGCCTAAGCCCAAACTCAAAGAGCTTAATAAAAATGCAAAAAAAGGTCTTGAACTTCCTAGTTTCCAATTTCATGTAATTTAAATACTTCTCCTTTGCTTAAATTCTCAAGAATTTCCATAACTGTCATAAATACTCAGAGCAATAACAGCAGTTCTGATTCTGCCGAAAAGGAAGAAGAATTTGGATAACTTGTGGTAGGGGGTCTTTGGCTGCAACACAAAAGTAGATAACCAAAGAAGCAAAGGCATTTGTCCCCCAAGTCTTCAACTACGATTCAAACTGGCAACCCTAAGTGCCAGTGCCCATTTATGTATTCTAGCAGGTTCAAGACCTTCTCAATCCATGAATGCGGTAACCTGCCTGCATACAAGGCGACAAGTTATTAATTGGAAAGCTTCAGTGCACTTTTCAAGTAAGGAGAGTGGCACCAGCTCATTGCTTTCCAGCAGACTTCTTTGGAAGGGATGACAACATCTCATATGCATCCATGCACAGGGCAGCTGGCAGCCCGGCCAACAGGAGAGAGAGAAACTGGCTGCCCAGCAAGGCAGAGGACTTACCCAAAGACACACAACAGTAGCAGGTCATCAATGGAAAGAGGGCACAATCCTAGGTGTTGTCTGAATTTCCTGGTTGTGCTCAGAGGCCACCCAAATGGTGACGGAAAATGGGCTGCTATCAGCTCTCGTCACCTCTGATGGGAAATCTCTTCCCCTATCCTCTGTCCTTGCTTCCTCCTTCTCTCCAATCCTCTTTTGTTCATCCTATTTCCCTCCTTCTCTCTCCTTTCATCCCTGCCTCCCACCCCTTTTCCCCTACCCTCCTTCCACCCCCTTCTGGCATTCTCCCTGAGTGACAGCAATGTAAGCTGGAGGAGGGAGGCCTGTCTCTCCCTCTTGATTCATGCTGTTTATCCTGGCCTCGTAAACCTCTCTAATAACTCATGGCGATGGCACCGTGATGGGCTGGCAGGCAACTGCCGGCTTTGGGCAGCTCATGACTCCAGAAGATAATCACACTAATAAGAGGTTGAACAGAGACCGGACCCTCGGTCACGGAAAGCAGGACACGAAAGGCAGGAGGGAAAGATCCATTTCTGCCTAAAGGGCAGAGCGATGGTATAAAAGCGTGGGCTCCAAATCATCCCACTACCCGAGAAACCCAACTCCTGGGATAGGTAGATGGACTCTAGAATTGATCTATCCAGGGTAGCTGAAGACTCAGGAGCAGTGTCTATGGTTAACACTTCAGGGTTCCCTTCAAGCCACACATCTGATCATGGCACTCCCCGCTGTGAAAAATTAACTCTTCAACCACTAGCCTCGGTGCTAAGGCAGAAGCCCAGAATTCGCTCCCCTGTGCC